GTGGATATGTATTTGGATGTGGGAGGTGTTAAAAACGTGAACCACAAAAAAGGGTATGAATCTAGGAGCATGTAGGAAAAAAATAACCAGATAGCAAAATTATAGTTGAGTGTATAAAATTGCATTATCTTCAAATGACACTAAGTGTGCGTTTTTATAGTTGAAGAGGTGGAATGATAACCATTAGATAAAGAGACAAGTGACCTCATTCTGATGATCGAGACACATTATGGTGGGCTTCATTCTATCAATTTTACGCTCAGGCGCATTTAATATTCGTGTCCGTCTGTAGCGCGTCATATCAATCAAACATACGAGATCTTGTACGGAAGATCCTTGCAATGTCTCGCATCGCCTTGACTTATCCATGAGAGTTTGACCTCGCCATTAATGTTTAGTCCCCTTCATAAGGACTCGGACCCTTATGAGATTCAACTTCTTTATGGGAGTTCGACCTCTTTTTGGGGGTTCGATGGGATTACCACATAGACGAAATGACATGGAGTGTGGACCTGAATTTGCTCATTATGTGACTGTCATGTGATTACTTTTGGAGCCTCGCTGTAAGAGGCGTAACAGAAATTATATTAATAGATATTTGTAATTGCCCGTGAAAAAATTAGTGAGTTGAGATAAAAATAAGAAAGAAGTATATGTGTCCGTATGGCCCCCATTATCTCACATTATAATGAGATGAATAATAATTTTTTTTAGAATGTGTAATTGAAAAAGTAAAAGAAGTTTTTGAGTTTACGTGTAAAATTATTTTATTGAAGAATTGTGATTGATAAGAAAAAAGAAAAAAATAAATTATAATTTAATGGATGCAAAACAGGGGCTATATTCTCATCCGACATTAAAAAATTCAAAAGGATTCGAAACTTTAAATCATTCAAGAACGCAATTTTACGATTTTATTGAGTATCTAAAGATAATTAGTTTTTATTTCACTATATATATCACGTTTTTTGTTCTTTCATCACTGAGTAATTCCGACCATCCGAATATGAGATACACTTGGAATGATATTTTCAGTCACGTGTTCTAGATAAATATTCATATTTGAGTCGTACATTTTTGGACAATAAGAAATCGGTTGTTCTATTTCTATAAGTGATCATGCATGTAATAGGAGATAATTTTGTGAATCAAATGTATATTATCTTGGAGCACTATATTTGGTGGGATTAAAATTAAATTTTTAATAAATTTTGATAAAAGATTATGAGATGTATGGTTGAAAAGTTGTAAACCCATGAAATATGTGATTGGATTCAATTATTGATTTTAATTTAAATTAAAATATAGATTTTAATTTTCACCGAACATGGACTAAACCATTAATATATGCACAAAAGGATGTCAATAAGGCTTTATAACATCATTCTAAGCCAGTCTCTAAAGACCGGGTTTTCTAAATTTTAATTTCTTTATTTCTCTTTATTTGTTGTTTTATTATTTTATCATTTTGTTAATCTAATCATTGAGTTAAACTATAGTCTATATACATATTATTATTTCTCTCCAACAATGTGGGTGTGGGAGTATAACAAAATTGGCAATGCCAAAGAGATATATAGATGAAAGTTTTGGCCACTCTTTAGGGTTTAGAATTATTTAACTTCTAAATGAAGAACATGGAAATGAACTTTTTTTTTTCTACGTTTCAAGAAAAAATATTATTCAAGAAAACATCAAAATTAGAGTCAAAACAAAGGACAGAAAACACTCACTAAGGGTCCATTTGGTATGATTTTTTGAAAAGTCAAAAACTGATTCTACGATTTAAAAAACTTCTTTTGGGCCTCTTTGAATCATTTTTAAAAGTGATTTGTTTGAATAAAGAGTTTTCTTAGAGGAAGTTGGTGCGTGGTGATTTATTTTATCATTTGCAATCCGATAACTCTTTTGCAACAAAGCAATTGGAGGATCAAAACAAAAATAAAGAGATGATTATAATTGTTAATTGTTGCAATGGTGATGGCTCTCACGAACTTGTAAAGAGATGATTATAATTATTATTTATATCGATTGTAATTTGAATTAAATAAATTATTTTGCCAGACAAGAATTGTATTTAAAATAATTAATAGGTGACTTTTCTAATATAGAAAATATAAAAAGATAAAAGGTATTAAACCCCTTAAAAGTTAAAAGGGACCCGTTAACAAAAGTGTATCCTTCAATAGACAAGTTTCTAGAATTTTTAGAATTTCCTTTTCTTATTAAAAATAGTTATTATATGCTTTAATTGATTCGAAAGTTGACTCGTTCATGCTAATAAACGGATTGAACTACTGTTTCTCGCGGATTGTTGCTAACAATTAAAAAATGGATCAGACGATTGTGTAATGGACAAACCTTTTGAGACAAAATCTCAAAAATGGGTGCTTTAATGATTAAAGTTACAATTGGAAATAAACGAATGCCTCAAAGGGGTACAATCACACGAATACTGAAAAAGGGATAATTAAAGTTAATTTAA